ATAAAATATTTAGAATATTTGCTAAAATCTGTATCAAAACAGATGTGATATCAAAAAAGTAATAAATATTACAAATCTATTTAATATCAAAAAAAGTAAATAAAATCTTCAAATAGCAAGTCTAAAGTTTAAATTTTAATATTGATAAAAATTTTAAATTCTTTCTATATTATAATTAACTATCTTCTGCTATTAGTTGAAATCAGATATCTGTTACTCATATTATATTAGTATAACTAAAGGTTATATAGAATTTATATAATAGTTATATCTTGTACAAAGAAATTCAAACTAGTATTGAACAATATAAATCTGTGATAAATATTTATAATCATATAAATTATAAAAACCAAAAAAACAAAAGCCTATTTAAAAGATCTGAGTAGAGAAGTAGTCTAAACTTTTAATAGTATTATTGTAAAAACTAAACCTATAAAATAGAACTAAAACTTGTAAAGCTAGATAAAAACAAATCAGTTTTTAAAATAAGACTATTGTAACTAATTAGGCCATCAGAATCTGTTCTAAAAAAAAAAATTTATACTAAAAGAATATATAAACCAAAGATATAGTTATATTTATCTTTCTAAACTATTTGATCTAAAAATTTAATAAAACTTGAATTGAATACTAAAGTAATCAAAATATATTATAAAATAAGTATTAAGATTGAAATAAACTCTATAAAGACATTACAATTTAATAATATGTTTTAACTGCAAGTGTCAGTTTTAACTATAACATTTATAGATTAGCTATAAAAATAGGATACAGAAAATTCTAGAAGGTTTAGTATAAGGTCAAAGATTTTTCATATAAATGAACTACTTTAAAGACTTAGTGATTATAACATATTTTCATTGATATCAACTAGAGTTATTAATAAGTATAAATAAGTAGATAGATACAGAAACTAAAATATTTAAATAAGAAACTTATAAGTATGTTTTAAATATAACAACTAGTATAAAACTTTCAGATAAACTACTTAAATTAGAAAGTTATATAAATAACTAGTTGTATATTCTTTTTATAGTTGCCTTTTGTGATTGTAATGCAACTATTTGCTAAATATACTATTAATAAAATTCTGGATTACAAGTCCTCATCTTAATATTTAAAAAAAAATAAATAAATAAAAAAAGAAAATAAATAATATTATAATCTTAATAATATCAAACTAATAATACTACTAAAATTATTTTTAAAATATATAACAAAAATTTTAATCAAAAAATTAACCAAAATATTTTATTAAAACAATATTCTTAGAGGTTTAAATTTCATAAAACTTTTAAAAAATTTAACAGAAAAGTCTATTTATATTATAAATATTTTAATAAAAAATATAAAAAAAAACAATAAAAAGCTTTGATTAGTTTTTTTAACTTAGTATTTAATGTTTTAAAAACAGTTATAGAAAGAATTAAACTTTTAGAGATAATAATTAAAATAATTTCAAATCTTTTTTAAGACAAATAGTTCAAAATAATTATATACTAAAAATATACTGAAATATTTATAATAAATAATAGAATAAAATAAAAAGAGATGTTTTTATTTTTAATATGAAGAATATTTTATAATTCTTTATTAAAAAGAGTTCAAAAAACCTAAAACTTGATTATATAATAAAAGTTTTAATTTTATATACTATAGTTTAAACTATTTAACAAAAATAAAATAAAAATAAGTAGTAATAGCTTTTGCAAATAATATAATATGAATAACAAATAGCAAAGAATAAATAAAACAAATATTACTAATTGCAAAAAATTTCTTTAAATTAAATAATATTTAAATAAATAAAAAAAATTAAAACTAATTATTATAAATTTAAAAGAATCTAAAGAAAACAGAAAGATTAAACTTAGTAATAAATAAATATATAAAAAAAAAGACTAAAATAACAAGATTTTTAGAAATTTGACTTAATAATAAACTTAATAAAAATTAAATTAAGACAAAAGCTAAAGAATTAACATATTCAACAAGACTTTTAAATATAAAAAAAATAATAAATTTATAAATATTATATATAAATAATATATATATAGTATTAAAATTAATTTATATATTTCAAATTATAAAGTTGTTCAAAAGAACAATAGATGTTATTCAAAATCTTATAATAGGTTTAACTAAACAAAACTAGAAATTAGAAAAACAGTAAACAATAGTACAATTATATATAAAAATATAGACAATTGTAATATACTATAGAATTAACTTATAACAAAACAGATTATAGATTTATATGCAAAATTCAATTTAACAGAATCAAAAAAGATATTTACAAGAATTAGAATAAACCAAGGTCTTTTACTTATTAGTATAATAGAAAAAAATTAATATAAAATTGTATCAAAAATATATAGTTTATAAAAAAACAATTTAGTATATTAAACAATATTAAAAACAAAAAATTTATAAATAAGATTCTATTTTAATAATATAAATATAACAGAAAAGAGTAAAGAAATAAAGATTACAAAAATATTAAAAAACAAACTTACATTTTAAATAGTCTTAATATTAAAAAAACTTAATATAATCTTGATAAACTAACTTATTAATGAAGTAAACAACAAAATAATTTTATAGCAACAACTTAAATTATTAAAAAAAGAATTGAGTAAAAATAAACCAGTTAACTAGTTTAAAAAAATTGAAAAAACTATCATATAAAACAAGAATAATAAATAATTGAAGTCAGATTATATGTTATTAAATAGAAATAAAAAGACACTTCAAACACATCTTAATAGTTATTCAAGAAACAATAAAAAAAAAGTAGATAATATTAAAGTTATCAAAGAAAAAAAACTAATAACTTGACAATAAAAAAAATAATTATAAATATATCAAAGAAACTATTTACAAAGCATTAAAAAATAAAGTCTAAAGAAAACAAAACAAGTAAAGTTCTTAAAAAATATGAAAAATATAATCTTAACTATATAAGAGAATTAAAAAATTGTAAAAAATAAAATAATAGAAAAGAAATTCAAGTTTCTTTATTAAAATTTATCAAAAAAAAAGAAGAATCATTGCTTAAGATAGAATAAAAGATAATAAGTAATTTCAAAAAAAAAAATCAAAAATAAAGTAAATGAATTTAAAACTTAAAGATGTAACATGTTACAATCTAGAAATAGAGTTAATCAAAAAACAATAATTGAATAAAGAGTTAAAAAAACTTATTATTTTTAAGAACCAAAAAAATTAATTGAAATTAGATAAAGAATTTATCTTTTATACAAAAGTTCACTTAAGAAGTCAGTAATAAGAAATGTCACAGATATTGATTATATGAAAACAGGTTAAGTTCAAATATTTATAGATGCTGAAATTGATTCTCATCAACAAAATCAAAGTTACTAATTATTTAACTAATGCTTCTAATAACATCAAAAAAAAGAAAGGTTAAGATTTATACAGATAGTGTAACAGCAATATCAGATCTTAACAGAGGAAGAAAACTTAAAACAAGTAAGCAATGGATTAAAGAAAAGAATTATAAGTTGAAAAGAAATATAATAAAGCTACTTGAATTAAAGGAATTAGAGTTAGAATTAGTTAAAAATATTTTGTTGTGAAGAGAATCAATCCGTTTACATAATTCAGAATCTACGAATCTACCTAGCTACATCTAATCTTAGCATATTTCTATATGATATAGTTACAATTACTAGCATATCGATATTTTGAAACCATAACTTTAAGAGCTATGATTCAAAGTTTCTAAAAACCATTATTATGAAAACTTCGATTCTAGAGTTTCTAGAATGCTATTAACATTGTATTTGCTTTAGATTCTGCGGTTTAGATAAATTGGATTTACGATACCACAAGTTTGTATGTACGCGCGTACTTAAAACTATTTCTATCTACGTATGTTCTTTTATTCTATTTTTAAAAATAAAATCTTAATAAGCCATTTTTCACACGCGATAAATAGGAATAGGTAGTTTTCGTACACAGAAAACTTCATCCAATCAATGATTTGCAGCTTGGGAATTCGTATTTTCTTTTTACGTAAAAAGTAAGAACAGATAATTAAATGGTACGTGCTTTTAATCCTCTTGGAGATGCGAGTTTTCTCTTTTTTTTTGCTATTCTATTCTATTGTTCTATTGTTTTATTGAAGATCTTTTATTATTAATTTTTTACGTATTCTATTATTGTCTTTTATTACTGTTTTCGAAATGGTTAAAACTACAGTACGTAGTCACAAATAAAGATCCGAAAAATATACAACAAAATTTTTCCGTATTTTCAGAATGGCCAAATTATTCTTCGATTTGGTTTAAACGAATGCTATAAATAGCAAGTTTCATTTTAAGTTCAAATCATCAAAAATGGATCAGCCATATACGTTCGTGATACTCCGATACTTTTGAACTTAAATGAATGCTAACATTCATAGAATTCATTTAAAACGAAAATGTTCATGAAATATCGATATTGTATTGGCAAAAACAATTACTTATTTTCCTTGATTTCCGTCTTTAATTTTAATTTTAATATTTGGCATCGTTTAATGGCTATATTTCAGGAACGACTGATCCGTTTTATACCATCTTTAAATTTAAACAAATCCTACAGTCTACAGCATTCACAACTCTACAGCACTTATAAGTCTATAGCATTCATAAGTTTACAGCATTCATGTAAGCACAGAATCATTGAAATTGGATCGGTCATTTTTCGATTTACTGTATATAAAATATATGATGTGAACAATTATTTCTGGATCTTTATTGCAATCATTAGTATGAAACAAAGAAATTATTATTGTGTATATTAGCTTAAAATAATCAGTAGCAAAATGTTATATCATATTTAAATTATTTCAAAATATTTAAAAAAAAACTTTTGGCCATTACATAATAATTTTTAAGCCAATATACACAGTATTAAAAAAGTATTTTTTCAAAACAGTAGTAATCTATTTCTATTAATAAATAAATATATATATAGGATTATATATAATTTAATTATTTTCTAATTCTACTGTTACTTTTCAAACTAAAGTATGATAAGATTCTGATTATAAATAAAATTCCAATTATTACTAATAAATTAACATACCAAGGCAATATATTCATTTCTAACTTTTCTAATACAGCAAATCCATTGATATAACCATCTGAAGAATTACATTGTGAATAAACACTAAGCTGATCCAAATTCGAACATTGGAAGTTTGAATATGGTGAACTGAATTGTATATACATCATGAGAGAATAAGAATATGAAACAAATGACTATTATTTTAAAAAAATAAGTTTAGTTAAAGAAAATAATGAGTTATTAAATATAAGATACATATAAACCAAACGCAATATACGTATAAAATACATACAAGATATTTCAACCATGTCAACCCAAATGGTAAATGACGTATATAAAATCCACCTAATAACATGGATGCTAACATAAAAAGTGTACATGCCACTGATTTATTTAAAAAGAATTCATTAGTATTTCATTATTAAATTATTAAATTATTAAAATTTAATAAGTATGTGATATGTACTTGTTGCATTTTGAACATTCATAAAAGTAGCTCCAGCAAGGTAACCAAAACTTTGTGATGATAAAGTCGTCAATATTGCGGTCGCCTATTTATTTTGATTTATTACTATATAAAGTAAGTAATTCTTTTTCATATTTGTCTATGTACGTACGTAGTATTGATAAGCTTACCGTGTATGCAAAGAAACTACTAGCACTAGGTGCCATCCCGGTAGTCCAATAAACAATTGAAAGATATGTCACTGGAAAAACGATGATAAGTGGTAATTCAGCAATTTGCTTCGAGAGGAAATATGTGAGAAGTCGATAAGAACGTGATTGACGTTCTTTACTAAGAACTTCAAAGTCTAATGGAAATGCGGTTATCGTGACTATTGACGAAAAAAATATCCAAAATACTGTTCTATTATTTTGTTAAAAATAAAAAAAAATTATATTTTTTTTTGTTGCTTATAAAAATAATAATTTTAAATAATAACGAAAATGACTTACGTGAAAAAGATCTATAGAATTTTTTGTCATTATAAAACGGTAACATAATATATCATTAATTATAGATAGGAAGGAAATGCTTCCAAAAGACCAAGTCCTTAAACTATTTATTTAAGGACTTAACCAACAATCAGGCCCTAGTTCACTTAGTTTCTAATCGATCCCAAACTTGGACTTCATTAACCCTATATACTCGTTATTCACTGTTTCATGATCATGTGATTGAAGTGGGCTATTTTGAATACGTAGATTTGAGCATAAACCAAATTCTACGTATCGGTATATATATGTCCAACTAGAAATTACTATGCCATACATTGCTCATATTGCCTTCAATCATAGGAAACAGTAAACAACAAATTTATTCCGTAGAGCGTGAAGAGATTCCCTCCAACTTGGAAAATTACTTACCAAACCATATCGATCTGATAAACTATCTTCGGTATAAGGTATTCTAAACCAAATAAGGCTAGAAATTACCGTTATACCAAATATTTGTATTAAATTCAGTCTAGATAATACATCTTTACTACGTTGTTTAAAACTTCTTTCTGTAAGGATCATTAATTGTTGAAGAAATGTCGCCTCCCATTTACACTTTAAAGATTCTATTACAATTGAGTCATCAGGAGTTTTGGGTCTTTGTACATATTCTTCGACTACTAATTTACCAGATGGGTCTGATTGTAATCTTTGAGTATGTGCGGTTATTAATTTTTGTTTTATTGTTGAGTCGCTTAGGAGTTCCACTAAATTTAAAAAGTCGCCGTTATTGTTAGTTTATACTATTACAGTATACACATTTACTTTTATAATGCGATAGATATTTCAACCGTGATAATCACATGATCATGGTATACCTAATATAACATTAGGAGAATATAATAAAAGAAGAATATATACGTATATAGTCGGCCGGATTGAAATTAGGGTGGCAAATAAATCCTTCATTGGCAAGATAATCGACTACATTCTTGCTATCACCAAAATAAGCTACTTGTCCATCTGCCATTAGTAACAGCTTGTCAAATAGTTCAAAAACTTGTGATGCGGGTTGATGAATAACCATTATGATTGTTTTTCTTTGCTTTTTTGCAAATTCTTTTAAGGTTTGTACAAGATCTAATGCTAATGATGAATCTTTGGAATAATAATTATTTTAATATCACGTGATTTGGTGTAAATAACATATTACTGTATTATAACACATACATACCTAAGCCAGAAGTAGGTTCATCTAACAAAATAACGCTAGGATCGGTTAACAGTTCGTTTGCGATACTAACCCGTTTTCTCTCTCCGCCTGAGACTCCACGAACTCTCGCATCACCAATTTTTGTATTCGAGCATTTTGAAAGATTTAATGCTTGAATTACGTTTTCCACTTGCTCCAACTTTGCACTAGTGGGTACTTCACGTGGAAGGCGTAGTCGGGACTATAATAGTAAAACGATCTTAATAAGTTTATACAAAATAAATTGATCAATGCTATAGAGGCAGACTTGTTTGAGTCACTAGTTACGGCCTAATTGCACTTTATTTTTTTTTTATTAACAGATTTGACTTATACAGGACGTAACTAAGTGATGTCATAAGTCAGCACCTATAATCAAAATAAATCAATACGCACAGTATAAGAGAGTGTTTCCCTAACTGTCAAGTATGGAAAAAAGATGTCATCTTGAGTACAATAAGCTATAAAACGCCTAGAGTCTTTAGTCGGATGATGTCCATTCATTTTAATTGTTCCTTCCGCATTTTTTTTAGATACGCGACCTCCGAGCACGTTCAAAAGCGTAGTTTTCCCGCATCCTGATGGGCCCATGATCGCTAACATTTCCCCTGTAATGTAGGAGTCACGTGACTGTTTATACTTGGGTGAACGGTATGCTTCAAAGTTTAATACATACCGGGTCTAGCAAATCCATGAATATTTTGAATAATCATTTTTCGTGAGTTTTTCCCAACCTCCTCATCAATTTGTTTACCATGTCTTGTTTGCTGGATAATTGGTATTGAATAATGAATGCCATAAAATTCCACATATACAGGATACTTTTTAGATGTGGATACATGTGCATTACTTTGCACAAGTTCTGCACGTTTAATGGATTTTTCATTGATCTCTATTCGTATTTCATCATTTAAATCATCCTCTGATGTGAAGGATAGAGAATCCTAGTCGTTTTCAATGTGAATATTTTTGAAATCAGAATCTTTCAATTTTTAGTTTGTAAAAATTTTAGCATTTTACCTTTGTTTTCTTATCCGAAATTGTTTTAATGGCGGTACTTGTCATTGTGTCATACAAACTAAATTACATAGGTCAAATTTGTGGGTTTTTATTAATGAATGAATGATTAGAATGAATCAAAGATGGCTTAACTCTGTCGATTGTTTTTTTTTTTTGGCGTAAGAACCATTATTTTTTTTTAATTTTATTTACATTTTACAAAGTATACAATGTGATCGGATATTTTTGTACAATTTCAATGTTTAAAATAAATATTAAAAGACTATTTATTACAACGAATGTACTCATTAGATTTAAAGTAAACGGCATACAAATATGACATAACAGTTTAATAGGTTAAAATTTTTTAAAGACTTTTTGAGAGAATATTTACAGCAGAATAAGCAAGTCGATTAAACTAGATTAAAAGATTATCTAAATATTTTTCAACCCTTTTAATTTTATAAACATGTAAAAAAAAACATTTTATTACATTTTATTATGTAGTTGTCAAAAATATATATATATATTAATTAAATAGAAGCCATGCCAAAATTTTTTTTCGACAACCACCTAACTAAATTCGATAGAAAATTGTCAATGAATTTGGTTAGGTGGTTGTCGAAAAATTCTACGTATTGTGGGATGAGTATGAACAAATTCGAGATATAGACTATGTATGAAAAAGGCATGTAAAAAGAAAATCGGAGAATGGATTTCGTGATTCCGAAATATTTAATACTTTTGAATATTTCGTGCATGAATGAGACAAAAATTTTGGTTATTAATCCGGCTGTTAGCTCTGTTCTTGAGTGAGATAAACACAGTAAATTTGTAATAAAAATATCCTGATCCGTTGGGTATTAGTGGAAACGAAGTTTCCACTTGTACACATACGGTCAGGGTAT